GAAGATGTAGGCCTAAGTGACTTGCCTTAGGTCAGGAAATCAGTGGCAGAGTTGGGAGTGGAGCCCAGGTGTCCTGACTCCCAGCCCCAGGCAGGGCCAGCCCACAACATTTTGGCACCTGAGGCGGGGAGCTCAAATGACGCCCCCACATCCCCTCACTTGGGCCAAAACTTTGAAAGGTCTCAATTCTGCCTTCTTCCTGTTCTACTCCTCTCATGGTACTGCTCTGCTACCTACACCAATAATGGAGAACTAACAACTTAAAATGCCTTGTTAAAAAATTTTAAGTAACACTTAACTTTCAAACGTCTGAACAGCAAATGTAACTTTTCTTCGTCTGCATAATAAACTCTGGCATTTTTATCTGTTTGAATAATCAAAGTGGTGCTTTCTGTGCCTTCTTGGTCGCAAAGATTTGAACTGCTTCCTGAAGGTCCATAGTATGGGCCAGCTCATGCTCTATTGAGATTGTTGCAAGGCCGACCAGCTTCTCCTGTGTCATTGTAGAGCATAGATGTGTTTTTATTAACTTCAGCTTGGAGAATCTGCGTTCTCCACTGGTAACTGTTACAGGAAGTGTTAGAAGGATGCATAGAGCAACAAAAGCATTTGGAAAGAGGGTGGTCATCTTATTTGTGCACATATATTCCAGAACAGCCTTTGGAGTTGATCCTGCTGAAATGTATCTTAAAAGAGCTTTCAGTTCATCACCTAAATCAATCGCATCAATATCGCGCATGTCATCATGTGTCAACACTGTCTCTAGTGCCCTGCATTGCTGGTGTAGGTCTTCTTCAGGTATAGTGAGGAGTTTTGGAATATCAGACAACATCCCAAATATACTGCTGTGTTCCTTGAGCCGCATAAAACTTTCTTCAACTGACTGTATTGCACAATCTAGCACCCGGTTAAAGAATTCAACTTTTAATTGTTGTTTGGGGTCTCTTATGGGATTATCCCGTGCCTCGGAATCAAAATGTCTTCTTCTTCGGTGACTCTTGTATTCTTGAATGGGTGGGAAAATAGCTTCAGTGTGAAGTTCCTCTGCCAACTTCTGTGCACTCTTCAGAACGTTTTGAAATCCCTCATCTGACCGGTAAGACCGTAGGTATGACTTTGCTTTATCCAGTTGTTCCATTGCTCCAGATATATCAAGGTCAGCACCTTGGAGTCTCTTGCTTACAACATTTATTTCAAACAGTATGTCATGCCACAACACTAAGACACACAGAAATTTGAAAAAGCAACAGAGGGTCCTGTGGCACCTTTGCGACTAACAGAAGTATTGGGAGCATAAGCTTTCGTGGGTAAGAACCTCACTTCTTCAGATGCAAGATTCATTCAGATTCTTGTATGTAAAATAAAGTAAATGTCTAAACAAAAAAGTCAGTTTGAAATGAAACATCAAATCTTTTCATTCTGAACATGTCTAAACAATGTTTTCAGTTTTTCCCCTCAATTTTTTTCATTCAATTTTTTTTGTCAAAATCTATATGATTTTGAGGAAGAAAAATTTTTCACCAAAATGGAATTTTCGGATGGAAAATTGTTCTGACAAAAATTTCTAACC